TTCCTCGCACAACCAACCTCCCTCTTTTCCCTTTTACCAGGTCTTACGTCTCCGTAGGCCTCTACATCTCCCTATTAGCCCTCACTATCGCGATCCTTCAAGGCAATCTACGCCACATTGTGCCCCGCTTTGTCTCCGGTGAGTCCTTTCCCCCTTCGTGGCCCTCCCTTCCTACACTGATACCCAGGCTTAATATGCGTCTTCCTACATGCCTCCCTCTTTATACCCCTCTCTCTTAGACAAGGGCTGTGTCCTCATCGGCCTCTGTATGCACGGTGTCAGTATGGCCATCATCGGGAGTGCCTTCGCGTCCTGGATGATGTTTGTCATGGTACGTCCCTCCTCCCTCCCTTTCTCTTTTACGCGCCATTTTTCAATCTTCCAGATCACATTTCTTATCCTTTGCCACATCCCATTCCTCCATTCCGCTCCTTACCTCCTCCTCCTCCTCCTCCTCCTCCTCCCTTCTGCCTTCCTCCTCGTTAGATGCTCCCACGCCTGCTCGCCGGCCTAAAGCTACCCGGAATCTTAGCTTTCATGACCCGGGGCGTGGTTCACGGAGACCAAGGTGCGCGCCTGAAAGCTCTCTTCCTCCCTAAGTCGCAATTTTTAGGCATTTCCCCCTCATTCTCGTCGGTAGTAGATAGCTGCTCCCTCTGAGCTCCCTCTGGGCCTTCTCCTCCCGTGTCTCTGACCCTCCTCCCCTTCCTCCCATCTTCCCCTCCTCTCCCTACCCCGTCAGGGATCGTGCAAGGATCCATTATGAGCCTGCGCGTCCTTGCCCGGGCGATCGGTACGCCTTTATTCGGCGTCGTCTTCGGTCATTTCTTCGACAAGCACCGGATCGCACGGGTAGGCATTATCTTATTGGCATGTCTGCATTTGCCCTTTGGCGCTGATTTCTTGTTTGTTTCGATGACATGTTTTTCTAAAGTCATCTCCTCCGTAGCGTGTGGGCTTCTGTAAAGTTGTTAAATTTGGGAAGGGTGGGATAATGACATGCCATATGTGAAATTGCAAAGATTGGGAAGGTGGGAGACGGAAGAACAGCAGCTCATTTGTCAAGTGTGTCATTAATAACGTTATATCTCTATCCCATTTATTTCCATCTCAATGCCTTTCTCAGCAAGGTGATTGGATTTCAGGTATAACTTTTTATCTCGCCGGTGCCTTTGACGTGTTGTCTGCTGCTGCGGCGACATGGGTGTTCTATGTGCTGCTTAAGGATGGAAAAGATGAGGACACAAGGGCAAAGTCCGGGCAAAGGTCCATCGAATTGATGGAGGAAGGGAGAGAGGAGGCTACGGCATAGGATTGCAATATGATTATTTTGCGTGCTACAGGCTGAGGCAAATAACAATCAACATGCGCGTCATGCGCTGTTTCTCGTGCCGGTAGCGGTCGATTTCCACCTTCATGGTCGCAACCTTGTAGTCACGGGCCTGGAACTCGACCATACAGTAGGCGCAAGCATTTGGCACAGAGGAAACAAAATAAAGCTTGGTGATGGGAGAGGGAGGTGGAAAAATATATCATAATTATTCAATGAAAATATATATGGACACCGAAGTCAGTCTCTTATTCCGGAACTGGGGCTTACAAATTGTTGGTTTCGTGTCGTCTGCCCTGGTCTGGGATCTCGACCCTTGTACTGACGCTCAGAAGTCCTCGTACTGGCTGTCTTCGGGCATTTCAAATGCTTGCAGCGATTCTGACCTGCAGAAATGTTCAAGGAGGGAATGACGGGGAGTAAGAACGTACGAGACAATACCCGGAGGCATCTTTGGGTGGAAACGGTATAAAGCGTAACGACGCGTAACCACACGAATCGACGTACTTACACGCGTCTCCTGTATATTTTCTTAAGGATAAATTCACCGATGAAGGCCTCGCCTGCACGGTGCCCTCGTCAGTGGATCGGATATAAGCGTTTATTGCTATTTTGCGTCCTGCTACTCCTTGTGAACCTCCCCCTCAGCGACGCGTCCGTCACCGATGCAAGCGCTTTTATGTTTCAGATGCCAACTGCTGCATTGACTCGTCGACAACATTCTATTCGGCCACTTGCACCTGTACCATTGTCTCCTCAAAAAGGTACTTAAATTTTCGTTCCACCACGAATTTTGCGTATCTGCTCCAACCTCCCCCCATCCTAATCTAGCCTCTCTCGATTGTCGCTTTCTGAATAATAATTCCAAGTACGATTGTTATAATCAACCTTTTTGGCTAAAACTGATACAGTCTCCCACTTTTTACCTTTTGGCATCGTCACGGCATGTTGATCGAAGTGCGTGCCATTTTCGGCCCTAATCCTCTCCCCCTTGGCTATCGATTCGGACTTCTGGAACCTTCAGATCTCCCTTCTCTGGTTCAGCTCCTCCTCGTGTGCTTCCCGCCGGACCTACCCCTTCCCGAGGCAGATGATATGCTGCATTCCTCATCTTCATCCTCATTACCTTCCAAGCTAAGCCGTCAGCTTCTCTATTTTGCGGCTCGGGCGACCAATGGCCTTGCTTTTCTCCTTTCAAAACAAGAACTTCGATGGGGCTTGCTGTCGCGGCACGGAGAACGTCTCTCACATCCTTGTCTTGAAGGACAGTGCACCGAGAGCCTCACTCTGTGCGTGGAGGAAGAGCCCACCAATCGCCTGGTGGCGGTGGTGGAGCTCTGCCTCCGCCGTCCAGACGGCAACCTGATTCCCAGCATTCGCTCGTCTTCCCTCCGGTACGATGCGGCCTGTCGCCCGTATTTATGCAACCTTGCAGTGTCACCGTTGTATAGGGGTCAGGGGTTGGGAAAAGCGCTCGTACGCATTGCGGAGAACGTGGTGTCCGAGTGTTGGGAAGAGGATGTAGTGTACTTGCATTTAGACGAGACGGACGTCGCAGCGATGTCTTTGTATGGTAAGCTAGGGTACGAAAGGGTAATAGGAGTAGATCCTACGGGATGGTATCAAGAGGTGATGATTGAGGCGGCTAGAAGAGAGGGAAAAAGTCTGAAATACTATAAACGAGAAGTTGGAATTTTGAAAAAGGAAGAAGAGAGTGGTAGTGCGAGTGAAATAGGAATCGTGGAGGATGAGGAGGCTTGGGGCTGGGATGGGAAGAAATTGAGGGGGAATAACTGGGAGAAATCGACGAAGGAAAGCTCAAGTAGCTCAGGAGGACAAGGAATAGAGGGGAACTTGGATGGTTGACCACATCAAGTATTCGAATAGGGGCGCTCATGTATGTAGTTAGTTTTGATGACTGTGGTAACGCTATCGACTCATGGAAAGCGCGCGAAGAAGCCTGTGCAGCAAGTCGAAGATGGAGGATGCGAGGAGGAATAGACGCGTACAAAGGTTGATGTGTAGAACGAACTGTCAATAGAAAGATGTCTCAACATAAGCAAACGACGAGACAAATTCCAGAGTTTACACCTCCCAAGAAGTTCTGGGCATATCAAAGGCGGCAGAAAGATCGTACTTTTTATTTCCTTTAACATATATGGTCAATGAGGTATTGTTTGATGGACAAAAAAGCTTGTAGTCTGAAGCCGCAACATGTTCGGACAACATTTCTTCACATAGAAGTTCTAAATAATCATGGATTTTCTAAGAATGTACGACTTGCCTGAAGTTGTTTTCCTTGCACAGTAAGATGTGAAATTTCTTAACACGATCCTGTACGACTTTTTTTGCAGGCGCGTCGGAATGTTCTTGTAAAAAAACGCGAGTACGTATGTCTCAGGAGAATGCAAGCCATTTGCATGCCTCCTTATCCCCGTTATTTCATCATAAAATCATCAGATCCACGGCCCTTATGTCTGCTAGCCGGTCAAACTTCAGGCAAGAGACTGCTACTGTTGTCTTTCATCGTTACCTAAGTAGAAGTCCTTTCGGAAGCAGCCAGGCGAGGGGTGTGAGGACGCCCGTCCTTTGTCGATCTTGGCTTACGCGAAATTTCAACCAGTCCGTCGGGACTTTTTCGGCGTTCTCAGCTTTGTAAGGACACAGTCTCAAAGCACCATAATTGTTGAACACAAAGCCATGAGCATGCATTATTGATAGAATGGAATGAAAGAGCAGAAAAAAGGACAGGTCCGTCCAGGTGAGTCCCGGTTGCCAGGGAAAAAGGCTTCGTATGCGCCCAAGTCTCCAAAGATTTGCTTGCAGTTGGAAACGTCAACCCTGTCGTCATATGCCATGCCTTCGACCACGTGCTTCTCGCGTTCCATTTGGCTCGCCCCGTCTGCTCGCCCATCGCAGTGCGTGTGTAATTTCTGGAATCTTTTTCGTAGCCTTTTTGTGCCCTGTCGTATTTTTTAATGACTCTAATTTGGTGATAACGCACCTGGTGTGATGTACTCGTCAGCACCTAACCTGGCGTGGGGGCTTTGTCGCCTGTTTTCGTGTTCTCCGACGGGCTGCAAGGGTTCACCTCGCGTTTTCATTCCTTGTTCTTCCATCCCACCCCCAGAACCATGCGTGTACTCTCTTTCCTTGCTATTATCGGCACTGCCGCTGCCTTCGTCAAGCCCACCCTCCCTGCTGCTGGGTCTCGCACTCGTGCCGGCGCTCTCCGGTAAGTGGTTCCGTCTGTCCCACGTTGAACATATATCTAAATTTCATGGAATCATGCATGCAAGGAATGGTGCGCCAAAGTGGAAATGTACGCGCTTATTCGAAAAGAATTTATCACAATTGCTTGCATCGTACTATGCATACTTTGTCTTTCTATCATGTGTCAAAAGGAAGCACTTGCTAGGGTTTGGACTTAGGCGTGGTATCTTCTCCCCGCATCTTACAAGTGTCCCTCATCAAACTGAGGGTTTGCTTTGTTCTCCCGACTGGTTTTCATAGTCCAATTCCATGACCGTTTGGAGCTTGTCTCCTGATGTTTTAAATAGTTCTGGGTGTGCATTGCCCCCATTTTTGCAATCCTGCTTACCTGTAATCTCTTCCTCTAACATGTGTTCCAACTATTTTCTGCCTCCCTCGCCTTCTCTCCTCCATAAGCATGAACCTCGCCGAGATCGAGCTGGAGGCGGGCAAGACCTCTCCTTTCCCCGATGGCTTCGATCCTCTCGGTCTGTCCAAGGATAAGTCATTCAAGGAGCTCAAGAAGTGGCGCGAGGCGGAGCTCAAGCACGGTATGTCCCTCCACCCTCCGCGTGACTCCCGCATTACTCTCCCGTTCCTCTTTCTGTCTCGGGAGGATAACCCATGATCCCACAGCTGACCACTTTTCCGGCATCGCCTCTCAGGCCGCGTTGCCATGCTTGCCGTCCTGGGCACGGCCGTGCAAGAGAACTTCCACCCCCTGTGGGGCTTCAACGAGAAGGAGATGGATGGTGCCATCTTTCACTTCCAGGTGCGTGGCCTTCCTATAGACGTGACGGCGTCGGTGTGACAGACAAGGGTTTTAGAGAAGTGATCGGAAAGCGGGAGCGCTCTGGATGTGGATGCTGGTGGCTGATTCTCTCTTTCCCCTCAAACATTCGTACCACCTGCCGTCGACCATTGTAGGAGATCCAAAACGTCTACCCCCTTTTCTGGACCGCCCTCCTTTTCATCATCGGCATCATTGAGGCTCGCACCATCTCCACCGGATGGGATGAGAACATGGCCGGATCTGTACGTCCCAACCTCCTCACCATCTCCTTCCCTCCTTCCCGCTCCATCATCCCTCCTTGCCTGTCCTTTGCCCGTTGCGTGTGCAGTAGGACGCCTCTCTTACTTCATATCCCCCTTCGCTTTGCACCCCTGACCCTCCACCTCGGCTTGCTGGACCTTCATAAACCCGACGCGATTACGAAGTACGTCGCTCACCTCCAACCGTTGCTTTCTGTCCCCTCTTTCCCTTCAGTCCCAGATCGCCGGCGTGAAGGAGGACTACATCTGCGGGAACCTGGGCCTGGACCCCCTCAAGATCATCGAAAATGACGACGAGGAGGCTTTCCTGTCCTACCGCAACAAGGTAAGAGTTACCACACCACAGGCACACACAGGCACCGAATCCCTTTCCTTTTCCCCTTAACGCGGTCTAATACTCAGTCTCACCGGTTCTTGCCCTACCTCATCTTTCAGGAGCTCAACAACGGCCGTCTGGCTATGATCGCAGCCGCTGGGATCACCGTCCAGGTAGCCTCCCTTCTTGCCTCCCTTCCTCTCTTTCTTATTCCCTCTCTCCCTCCCTCGCTTTGTCCACGTCCCCCTCTGCTTCCCTCCCTTCCACCTTTTCCTACCTCCGCACTTCACAATGACTTTCGACCGACCCGTGGTGCATGTCCTGATGCCCTCTCACCCGTGGATACTGGAAAACATCTCATTCTTTCAACTCCCTCTCTTATGCCTGCAGGAGAAGTTCGTCACCAACGGCCTCCCCGAGTTCGAGTTCCACCGATTCGCCCTCTCGGACGTCTACAACTTCTTCTTCTAAGCGTCCATTGCCGCTTGAACCTGAGCATTCCTTGTACACCCATTTCCGTGACACCCTGCTGTAATGAGTGGTAGAATTGAACCAAGAGTTGGAGACGATGGCAGCATGGGAGGAGGGAGGGGTTGGCGGGACTCAGCAATGTGTCTGCATATGCTTTAGTTTTTTTGGGAGCAATTTGAGATGATGGTAAGCTAGCTTGAGGCAGTGAGGAGACAAGGAGGTGGAGCGGGTGACAGAGGAAGCCATCAGGGCGCAGCTGGGTGGGAGGATGGAGGGCCGGGGGGTGGTTGAGAAGAGAAGCCCTCGGTGCCCGCCCTCCTTCTCCTCGACCCTCCCGATCCACCCTTTTCTCGGAGATGCACAGAGATTGAAATTTGTGGGATCTTAGAAAAGAATCAAGAGGAACATGAAAATTTTTGGAGGACGCGACATTTTCCCCGTGATTCTTTGACCTCTCACGTCACTGTCTGCCTTGTCGGTGTTTCGTTATGGATTATACAGGGGACTCTGGTCGCTCTCTGGTTTGACGGGCGGTTTGTCTCGTCTTACTGGTAGGTGTGTGATCTCGTCTCAACTTATTGTAAAAATATGCCGGGCAGGAATCAGCAACGGCTCACAGGGAGGGGACAACACAGGGGTAAGGAAGGAAGGGGCCGTACCCGCCATCCTCCCTCCAATCCCTCTTCCCCCCTCCTCTTCTGAGCCCTGCCCGCCCCGTCACAGATCGAGAGCCTCTACGCCTCTGTACACTTTGCCCCGTCGAATAGGGGCGCTCATGTA